AATTAAATCAAATAGATGTTTCCATCTCCTGGTTCCATTACCACCAGATCAGAGAAAACTTTAGAATAGATGAGAAAGTAGGCTTTGAAACGAAAACTTCCTTTTGGGATAACATTCTAACAACCGACACAAAGCTCATAAGAAAAATATACAACCAGCTACTAACCTGGGCCACGGAGACTGAGCAAGTTAAGGCCAATATGACAACCTGGGCAAGAGACATAGGCCATTCAATACCTCTAGCTGATTGGGAAAAAATATGGAAAAATAAAATCAAATATACCTACGCCACGGACATCAAGGAGAGCTGGTACAAGATCTTCTATAGGTGGTACCTAACCCCGGAAATCTTGGCCAAAATAGAAAAGAATAAAAAAAAAGATCGATGCTGGAAATGTGAGAAGGAAAAAGGCACATTTCTACACATGTGGTGGAATTGTAAACGGATCAAAAAATTCTGGATACAAGTCCACAGATCGATAGAAAAAATTCTAGAAGTAAAATTTAACCCGACACCGGAGAGGGGCCATGTGTGTGCGCGCGCCAGGGAGTTTGTGCCAGTGCGCATGCTCAGTTGTTTTGCCGTTTTTTGTGGTTGTTGTTGTGTGGTTTCGATTTCTGAGTGGATTAGTTTGTACCTAGTGGGTTGTCCTTGGGGCATGGCAATTTTGGTAGAGTTGTGTTGAGGGGTTTTAGAGTTTTGTTTCCTCGTTGGACGCCAGTAGGAAATTTATATATATAGATTCCATTTTCCATATTCCATTTTTATTATACATTGACACAAAAACACAGTATGTCACAGCAAACGAGATATATGGATTTCGTATCACAAAATCACAAGTCGAACACTTCCCAAGCCTCTAGGACTGTGTGATGTATTTTCGAATGATTTGCACGGATCCAAGTAAGGTGGCCTTTTGCAGTTGACAGACAGTGATTTTGGCAATGTTTATTGTTTCCAATAACTGAGGTGTTTTGGCACGGCACCCAGTGTGCCGATGGCCACTGGGACCACCTGTACTAGTTTATGCCAGAGCCTTTGCAGTTTAATTTTGAGGTCCTGATAATGGCTGAGTTTTTCCTATTGTTTTTCGTCATACATTTATTATTATTATTATTATTATTATTATTATTAATTTCTATATTTCTTAATTTTTTCAGCAATATAAGTACCATTATACATTTTAAGTCAATAATTTCCCCCTGTATGGAAATATTGTTATTATTTTGCTAATCATAGAATCCTAGAGTTGGAAGAGACCATATGGGCCATCCAGTCCAACCCCTTTCTGCCAAGAAGCAGGAATATTGCATTCAAAACACCTCCGACAGATGGCCATCCAGCCTCTGTTTAAAAGCTTCCAAAGAAGGAGCCTCCACCACACTCTGGGGCAGAGAGTTCCACTGCTGAACGGCTCTCACAGTCAGGAAGTTCCTCGTAATGTTCACATGGAATCTCCTTTCCTGTAGTTTGAAGCCATTGTTCCGCATCCTATCTATCAATCTATCATTTTAAATAGTTTCTTCATTCCCTTATTATTCTAATTTTATTCAATCTTCAAAACCCACCAACATTTTGACATTTCCTTTCTTCTCTATAAATGATAGTAATGGTTCAATTCTTTTGAAAAGTTATCAGTTATCAAAAGTTATCAAGCAAGATAATTTGTCAATTTCTGTCAATTCTAAAACTCTATTTTTCCTTTCATTTTCCATTTTTGTGCATAGAGTAATCTTGCTGCAATAATCATGTAATCTACTCACTTGAAATGTGTGGTTTATGTTTGTTTGTTTGGAAGTCTCAGTAGAATTTGAGTTGGATCTAGTTGTAATCTTATTTTAAATATCTCTTGATTCACATTTCCAACATTCACGTGTTCTAACATGTATGTTGGGCAATGTACCATCTATTTTATAGAAACCCTTTTCAAGAAAAATTTAGGATATCTTTTAGTTCTTGTGACTACATTCTCTGCTATCTTTCCAGCTCAATATTCTGATATTTTATCATAATTTTTTAAAATTGATGAATCAAACCATACAATTCACCATTCTGGACACAAGGTGGCAGGAAAGGTATATCAAATGCATATTTCTTTATTTGTCGTGTCAGATCAACCAGTCAATTATATTACATTTCTAACAGAACAAAGCAAACAACAGATAAAATACAACATTTGTGAGTTTGGTAGTTGGTTAAATGTCCTTTGACCAGTATCTGGCCACTTGGAGTGATTCTGGTGTTGCTGCAAGAAGGTCCTCCATTGTGCATGTGGCAGGGCTCAGGTTGCATTGCAGCAGGTGGTCAGTGGTTTGCTCTTCTCCACACTCGCATGTCGAGGATTCCACTTTGTAGCCCCATTTCTGAGGTTGGCTCTGCATCTCGTGGTGCCAGAGCGCAGTCTGTTCAGCGCCTTCCAAGTCGCCCAGTCCTCTGTGTGCCCAGGGGGGAGTCTCTCATTTGGTATCAGCCATTGGTTGAGATTCTGGGTTTGAGCCTGCCACTTTTGGACTCTCGCTTGCTGAGGTGTTCCAGCGAGTGTCTCTGTAGATCTTAGAAAACTATTTCTAGATTTAAGTCGTTGGCGTGCTGGCTGATGCCCAAACAGGGGATGAGCTGGAGATGTCTCTGCCTTGGTCCTTTCACTATTGGCTGCTACTTCCCGCGGATGTCAGGTGGTGCAATACCAGCTAAGCAGTGTAATTTCTCCAGTGGTGTAGGGCGCAGACACCCCGTGATAATGCGGCATGTCTCATTAAGAGCCACATCCACTGTTTTAGTGTGAGCTTAACTGATAGCATGCTAATAATAATATATAAACCCTTTTTCCTAGTTCCAACAGACCTCACTACCTCTGAGGATGCTTGCCATAGATGCAGGCGAAACGTCAGGAGAGAATGCCTCTAGAACATGGCCATATAGCCCGAAAAAACCTACAACACCCCAGTGCTTAAAACACTAATAAGATAGAACATGGCCATATAGCCCGAAAAAACCTACAACAACCCATTCAATTTTGTTTTCTTCAAACTGAAAATTTATTTTAAAGAGTAAGCCTAATGACACACTTCACAGTGGAAGGTGCTGTTCTTAGACCCAGAGTATTATCCTACCACTATTTAATTATGGGTGATTGCTACGTGTTGCATTTTTTCTTACAAATAAATTTCCAAATATTATCTGGAGGAATTCAGATGGAGAACCACCCCTGGCATTAAAAACTGACCTGTGTTAGAATTTCCTATTATTTTTAAAAGTTCAAAGGAACAGGATAATATGTATTGGGAGTGTAATAGAGGCACTGAGCGTATTTTAAAAACTAATATTCCTAATCCCAACCCCCCTCTGCCACCTTCTGAGATATATATATATATATATATATATATATATATATATTAGGACAACCAGAATCTCTATAGAGCAAACGGGAAGGGAAAGCTGTAGGAGTGGAAGCTGGACCTTTCTCAGCCCAGAACTTTTCTTCTAGTCTGCAAAGTTGGGTTAGTCAACATTGAGACAATATGCTCCCTTGGATCCCAGATTAGACTGAATGCCAAATAATTAGAACAGAGCCAAATGAATGAAAACTAGTAGGAAGAGAAGAGCAGCTATAATAATAGTTGCCTGCAGAATTATGACTCACCGTTTTGATGCATTACAAAACTGGTTCTGGGTTAGGAAGGACTAACCTCATCTGAGATTCTACAATATGGTGACTCACAGTGAAGAAGGCTTAAGTGATAGTTGTGCTGCACCACCCTTTTGCTGAATATCGATGTTGCGCAATGGATTGCATGTATGCAAATGTGTTTCCCCCCCCCCCACACACACACTCCATAACTTTAATGATTCATGTGGTACTGAGCACAGAGGAGTAGTTACACAACACCGAAGAGTGTGCACAGAAGAGCACTGATGAGTTGTTAAACAACTAAAATATCAAAGATCTAGAAACCATGCCTTATGACAGTGGTTCTCAACCTGTAGGTCCCCAGATGTTTTGGCCTTCATCTCCCAGAAACCCTAACACCAGTGCTTAAGTTCTTGTATGCAGACAGCTGCATCACGTTTCTCAGCCAATCACAGGGCTAGTTCCCTCCATTCTCTTCCCCTCGTGTGGTACTGTTTTGAACTTCAAGTCCCAGAAATCCCTATTGCAGTTTTGGGTGAGCAAAGGTGTCTAGTGATGACCTAAAGCTGCCTGGACCTTTTTGACCATCTGCCACAGTGATGGGAGAGTGACACTGGCCCAATCCATCCTCATTTCCCTGCATTGCTGAGAGCAGAGAAAAGAGGACATCAACACTGGCCCATGTGGACACCAGACCAGTTTGGTTTAGGGCTGGTCCTGCTATCCATAATCATCTCAAAGTATTGGGTTTCTCTGAGTGTTCCTTAATTCTATGTAACGTAGGCTAAAACTGAGATAATCTGAATTATTCCATGTTACAGACCGAAAGTTCTTGGACATCCAGGATTGACTTCTGGTGCAAATTGGGGTTTGGGGCCGGTCCATGAGGTCACGAAGAGTCGTTGGGGCCAGTGTAGAGGAGTCCTAAATCAATTATTTAGGATGGAAGCCCATGATCTGGAGCCGTGGTTCTCAATCTGTGGGTCCTCCGGTGTTTTGGCCTACAACTCCCAGAATTCCCAGTTTACCAGCTGTTAGGATTTCAGGGAGTTGAAGGCCAAAACATCTGAGGAACCACTGGTTGAGAACCACTGATCTAGAGGTTCCGTAACCAAAGACTTGATATTGCACACGCTAAAAACTCCTTTTCCTGGAACAAAAGTAGGCTGTTGAGATATTCCAATCCAGAAGATTAGAAGAGATTATAGAAGATTATATGATTATGATTATGAAATGTAGGGGGTAGGAGACTTTGGAAGGTCTGCCTTGGCCAACCAAACAAAGTATTGCATTGCTGTCACCGGCAACAGAGATCTCCAAGAGCTGGTGGAATTGCTCTATTTCATTTTCCCCTCTTTCTGCTCACAGGGGCTCGAACTTGCATGGGAGAACAGATGGCAAGGATGGAGCTCTTCCTTTTCTTCACCCACTTGATGAGAACATTTAGATTTCAACTTCCTGAAGGAGTGAAGGAACTCAATCAAGATCCCGTTGTTGGGCTATCAATGCATCCGCACCCTTATAAACTCTGTGCTATTCCCCGCAGTAGTTTATGATAAAATGAATGAAAATTTATTCACAGTGGCTTATTTATTACTATACATTTCTCCATCATTCTTCTAGCAGTTCTCCAATGTTCTGCCATGACCCACTTGTTCCTTCAAATCGGGATGTTTTAGATGTTCTCCAGTTTGTCATAACTTCAAGATGATGTATTATGCAACTCTCATTTAAGACAGAGCTTAGGCGCACCCTCTCATTGGTTGCTCTTGTTTACTTGTGTTTAATTTCATGGCTGGAGGAAAACTTGGGACTGTTTATAGCAGTGTTTCTCAACCTGGGGGTCGGGACCCCTGGGGGGGGGGCGGCGTGAGAGGGTGTCCGAGGGGTCGCCAAAGACCATAAGAAAACAGTATTTTCTATTGGTCATCTGGGTTACATATGGAAAGTTAGGTCCAATTCTATTGTTGGTGGGCTTCAGAATGTTCTTTGATTGTAGGTGAACTATAAATCCCAGCAACTACAACTCCCAAATGTTAAGGTCTATTTCCCCCAAACTCCACCAGTGTTCACATTTGGGCATATTGAGTATTTGTGCCAAGTTTGGCCCTGATCCATCATTGTTTGAGTCCACAGTGCTCTTTGGATGTAGGTGAACTACAACTCAAGGTAGGTGCCTACCAAACCCTTCCAGTATTTTCTGTTAGTCAAGGGAGTTCTGTGTGCCAAGTTTGGTTCAGTTCAATCGTTGGTGGAGTTCTGAATGCTCTTTGATTGTAGGTGAACTATAAATCCAAGTAAGTACAACTCCCAAATACCAAGGTCTATTTCCCCCAAACTCCACCAGTGTTCACATTTGGGCATATTGAGTATTTGTGCCAAGTTTGGTCCTGATCCATCATTGTTTGAGTCCACAGATGTAGGGGAACTACAACTCCCAAACTCAAGATCCATGCCCACCAAACCCTGCTAGTGTTTTCTGTTGGTCATGGGAGTYCTGTGTGCCAAGATTRGTTCAGTTCCATCACCGGTGGAGATCAGAATGCTCTTTGATTGTAGATGAACTATAAATCCCAGCAAATACAACTCTCAAATGATAAAACCAGCCCCCCCCCCCAACCCCACTAGTATTCAAATTTGGGCATAATTGGGTATTTGTGCCAAATTTGGTCCAGTGAATGAAAATACACCCTGCATATCGGATATTCACATTACAGTTCATAACAGTAGCAAAATTACATTTATGAAGTAACAATGAAAATAATTTTATAGTTGGGGGTCACCACAACATGAGGAACTGTATTAAGGGGTTGTGGCATTAGGAAGGTTAGAACCACTGGTTTATAGGATGGCTAGGATGGAGGAATTTGCAAAATTGTTTCCATACCCCTGGTATGAGATTTTCAGTCAGTCAGTCAGTCAGTCAGTAGCCTTTATTTCGGTCAACAAACCATTGATCATGAGATTTTCAGGCCACTTGCTATCAAAATGAGTGCTGGCACTTCGTTAGAGTGAGATAGAGGCATAAAGAAACTCCACGACATGTCTGTTTTTGGTCATAAAGTTAAAACATATCCCTAGGTGGCAGTAAACACAAAGCTTTCTACTACAGGTTGAACATGTGTTTGATTCCAGATTTCAAAACTCTCTAAAATTGTCCACATGGGTAGCTTTCTGTTTGTTGAATACACACACACTTTGTTTCATGTACAAAATTATTAAAACTGTTGTATACAATTTAGTTTTGGCATATGTGTATAAATGTATACGAAATATAAATCAATTTTGTGTTTAGTCTTTGAGCAGTCATCTCTGAGTGATCTCATTATGTACATGTAAATCCATATTCATTCATCTTTTGCATTTAGATAGCTGTGTTGGTCTGGATGAGGGTGAACAAACTGAAATTGAATGCAGACAAGACAGTTACTCCAGGTCAGTCATAAGGCTGAACAGGCCATAGGGTTACGGCCTGTGCTGGATGGGGTTACAATCCCCCTGAAGATGCAGGTTCGCAGCTTGGGAGTGATCCTGGAATCATTGTTAAGCATGGAACCCCAGGCTTTTTTTCTCAAGTGTGACTGGTGGTGATAAGAGCCAGGGTCTTCTTAGTGGTGGCCCTCGGTTGGGAAATTCCCTTCCTAGTGATATCATAAAAAAACTACTTTTCTTAAATTATGACACTGATTTAAATCAGGATCATTTGTGAAGACTTTATCCAGGGGCCCTTTCACACAGCCCTATATTCCAGAATATCAAGGCAGAAAATCCCACAATATCTGCTGTGTACTGGGTTATCCGAGTGCACACTTAAAGAATGTGAGATTTTCTGCCTTGATATTCTGGGACATAGGGCTGTGTGGAAGGGCCCTAAGTCATTAAGAAAGTAATCACCAGTTGAGTAGTTCTTTTTGCCATACATTTTGCATACATACACCCATAAAGAAGTCTTGTGGAATAGGACTTACCTCTTCAGAAACAACGCTGGTTCTTCTCAGCTAGACTTCTTCTATAAACTTTAGAAACTGGAAGAAACACGAAGCTAACCGCCCTCTGTTTTTCTGGGTGTGTTGTTTCTCTTTGATTGCTTCTTCTAAAGTGATACTTCTGATAATTTCCAGATTTCATGTTTGATCTTAGAGAAAGAGCAGAAGGAAGAAGAGGGAGAGAGATCTGCACATTCATATTCAGTCAAGTTTACTACTGCTAAAGAGTAGCTATGCTATTTCTGGCTCTAGCTATCAGAAATAATAAAACAAGGTATTTGGGTACAATTATGGCTTGGATGTGTACAAATGTGTATGTGTGTGTGTGTGTACACATCTGGCAAAAGATATGCTATTTCACTTTGATCTCAGAGGTGACTCCCTGCCCCAATACTCTGTAAAAGATAGTTCAAAACTAAGGAATTCATCGTTTTACCAAGGACACTAGGCTGGAATGATCCTATAAACCCCTATCTCTCCACCATGTGGGAACCTAAGGCTCTTTCCATGGCCCCACATGGCAATGCCTCTGTAACCCACACTTCATGGACTTTGGAACTCTTATGGACTCTATACCAAACCCTTATGAACTTTTATGATATTTCACTGATCTATATGAACCTTTGATGGACTCTGGAGGGAGGGAGGGCTGGCATGATTCCCTTTGTAGTTTGCATGATTTTACCCTTATGAACTCCTTGTATGTTTCCCCTTTCCCCATATCCCTATATGAAATATAAAATTTGAAATGCCACCTCTTCGTGACCCCAGCATGTCATGGCTTCAGGGAACCTCTTTTTCATTTCCTGAGTCAACAAGACACTGAACAAAAGGACTCACCAAGAACTTTTTGCATGGAAAATTAAACAAAGGCTCTTATCCTCTCAGACCTCTGAGTAGCCAGACTAGCCCATCTGAGAGATATGGCCACAGACAATACAATCATCTTACAACAAAAGGTGGCATGCTGCCTGAGGAGGACTTGGTATCACCTCAGCTTTTTTTTTCATTGTTTACACTCCCAGGCTGATGTTGGTTTCCGATGCTATCACTAAAACCCATATCCAGGACCCAAGGACTACAAAAGGGTCTGCCTTTCGAGTCAGACAAAGATGTATTTTCCAGAAGCTCAGGACAATAAAGTAGCTGGCTCGAAGGCTTAGAAAAGCTATCGCCTGTGATTATACAAAGATTAAGTCATTTAAACCAGTCAATTGGACATTTCTTCATTGTTTCCCCGTTGCCCGCCTCCCTTCAACCTCATTGTATTTCCTATAAAAACTGTAATGTTTCCCTTTGCAAAATATTTCGGCTTTGGCAAATGATTGCAGTTTGACATCCGCTCCAGCTGGATCGCAATAAACAACTTGGCATTTCCTTCAACTTTGGTGAGATTTATTTGGGAAAATTGGGGAAAATTACATTTGGTGCTTCTTTCTCGCCAGGGTTAAAATTGATCCTCTTTGGTGGGTCCGATTGGTCTCTATCTTCAAGGCAAGACTCCCAAATTCATGCTCGATATCAACTTTAGAAATTATGCCAGACACTAGCCTCAGAAAAGTTATAACATGGAGGATGCATCCATTGGATGATGAAAGTTTCTTATCTCCCCAGGCTTTTCTACCTTGGGTTTTCTCTACAATAATCTTCAATCTCTTTTCCCGTCTCCTCCTCCACTGATGCTCTCTGTTTTGTTTGAAGTAATCCACACTTTCCCCAGAACTTCACAGATAGAAGTCAGCAATGTGCAAGGACAAGTTATGGGACCATGGGACAAGATCCTTTGAACAGATTCTCCAGGAGAGGCAGTGCACACCCAGCCATGAATCCTTCACCGTGTGGTTACTTGCTCTTAATTAGAACGTTATTATGAAAACCCTGTTCACATCACTGCTATAACTATGTAACAAAATTTAAAAACATGTTCTTGGTTTGAAAGTATTATTTCCTGTTTAACTGTGGGGTACTTACTTTGAAAGTAGCTGTTTTACTCCAGAAACTTTGTTTTTATGACTGCCACAAACTATATTGAATTGGCTGAGACTCTATGAGATATTTATTGAAAAACTATAGCAAAATAAGTTGCAGGATGTCCCAGAAAAACAACATTTTTCCAGTTTAAGAAACGTTTTCCTTGTTTCTTATGATAGAACCAAATAGGAAATGATATTTATAACCAAGGAACAGAAAATATGTTACATAGTGTAATCGGCCAATGAACCAAAAGCAGTTGAGGGTGGAGAGTTGGGTCATGTACATAAATCAGTGGATCCATTCCAGATTCTGATCTGAATTTTAAAGGTGCTTGCTGGATTGCTAAACTCTGACATCAGAATGGGTGTCATAGCTGTTTTAAAGTTCAGACAAAAACCCAGAGTGGAAGTATCTCCCTCTGCTGTCTCAAGCATGGTTGGTGGGGACGAAGGAGAGGGCCTTCTCGATGGTGGCCACCCAGCTCTGGAACTCCCTCCCTAGGGAGATCAGACAGGCTCCCACTTTGTCTTCTTTTTGAAGACAATTAAAAACCTGGATGTTCTGGTGTGCTTTTGATTAAGCAGTCCACCTGTAATTTTCCTGTCCCTACTTTAAGTTTAGCACTTTACGTCGGCCCTCTTATTGTCTACCTCAACAATTTGATGACAGTATTTCCAGCCCTGCCTACCTGATTGTTGCACTTTCCTTGCGCCCCCGTCAGAATGTATTGCACTCAGTGAATCTGTACCTCAGCTATGTTCTTTTTCTCAGCCATATTGTGTTGATGCTGTTTACAATTGTGATTGTTTTTATATTTTGATGTTTTAACTGGTTGTGTTTTATTTGTAATTTTGGGCTTGTCCCTTGTAAGCCGCCCCAAGTCCCCTAGGGGAGATGGTTGGCGGGGTATAAAAATAAAGTTATTATTATTATTGTTATTATAGTGATGGCCTCTGACTTCTTTCTGGGTGTCAAGATATATATGAAAAGAACTACTCAACAAGTCATCGTTTACTTGAACTTTCAAAAAGGTCTTGACAAAGTCATCACAAGTAAAGCAGGAATCATAGGCTGAGCTGAGGTGCTATGTTAGTGTGTTCACACTGTCCAATATTGCGCATAGACTGCATCAGCCTACTAGACTGTCACCTCACCCTCCATGGCACTGTCATTCCTAGCTAGCCATGGAGCTACAAGAAGCACTGCCTGAACATCAAGCAAAAAGTGGGTGCTAGAAACAATATCATACGAAACTGGCACAACCTGAGGATCACAACCAGACACAGTGAAGACATATACCCTTGCGCTATGCTACTCTGCTGCTGAGTATGCATGCCCAGTGTGGAACACATGTCACCACACTAAAACAGTGGATGTGGCTCTTAATGAGACATGCCACATTATCACAGGGTGTCTGCGCGTTACACCACTGGAGAAATTACACTGCTTAGTTGGTATTGCACCACCTGACATCCGCCGGGAAGTGGCAGCCAATAGTGAAAGGACCATCTCCAGCTCATCCCTTGTTTGGGTATCAGCCAGCATGTCAAGGACTTAAATCAAGAAATAGTTTTCTTAGATCTACAGAGACACTAGCTGGAATACCTCAGCAAGCGAGAGTCCAAAAGTGGTAGGCTCAAACCCAGCATCTCAATCCATTGGTGATACCAGATGAGAGACTCCCTCCTGGGCACACAGAAGATTGGGTGACATGGAAGGCGCTGAACAGACTGCGCTCTGGCACCACGAGATGCAGAGCCAACCTTAAGAAATGGGGCTACAAAGTGGAATCCACAACATGCGAGTGGGGAGAGAAGCAAACCACTGACCACCTGCTGCAATGCAACCTGAGCCCTGCTACATGCACAATGGAGGACCTTCTTATAGTAACACCAGAGGCACTCCAGGTGGCCAGATACTGGTCAAAGGACATTTAATCAACTACCAAGCTTGCAAACTTTGTGGGTTTTTTTATCTGTTTGTTTGTTTTGTTCTGTTAGAAATGTAATGCAATGGTCTGGTTGCCCCTGACACGATAAATAAAGCCATGGAGCTGTATCTTGACTGTGATGTCATAACAGGGCACCATGAGACCAACCAGAAGGAGGAGAAACTGGCCTCCTCCTTCTTGCTGGTCATACAGGTAAGGATGCACCACCTTTGAACAGATCTTGCTGAGAAAGACTAGTAACAGTTTCATCTAATGGGGGACAAAAGTCAATAAACACATTAAAACAGTAAACAGATTAAAATATATAAAGTGCATATAAAGCTATCCCTCCCAATTTGGTGTCATCTGAAAAATATGATAAGCTCCATTCCATCTATCTCCCATAACAGAGTTAGGTGGATTTTGAGAGGACACAGCTGTGGCTTCCATCTCCCATTGGCACATATGGTGAGACAGCTTTTTTCTGGACCAAACTGTGTTACTTTCACAATTCAAGTGAAACCTGCAAAGTTTAACCACCATTGCAGCTCCAGATGCTCTCGTAACATCTGCAAGGTGTGACACACTCCCAGGCATAATTGGCTATGATGCAAGAAGCCTTGCCACTTTCGTTGTGAAAATACAAAAAGATGTTAGTGGAAAATTAAGAAAAAGGGGAGAGAGACAATTAGGAGCAACGCCTCCAGAAAAAAAAAAGCATACCGCATTTTGCCTGATTGAGAGGACTGGAAAGATCTCAAAGTAGAGAAAGAAGAAGAATGGCAGGAGTCTGGGTGTTTTTAATAGCCTTTCCTTTATGCCTTTTGATTCTGTCCTATCTGAAAGTTCTCTGGGCACACAGAAGATTCCCTCCTGGACCATTTCCTCTTCCTCTCATCGGAAGCCTGTGGTGGATTGGGCTCGGACTGAATCCTGACAGTTTAATGAAGGTAATTCTGCCAATCCTTACCCCACCCCTATAACCAGAAACTTGTCGAAGGCTTTCATGGCCGGAATCACTGGGTTGTTGTAGGTTTTTCCGGGCTATATGGCCATGTTCTGGAGCAATTTTTCTCCTGACGTTTCGCCTGCATCTATGGCAAGCATCCTCAGAGGTAGTGAGGTCTGTTGGAAGTAGGAAAAATGGGTTTATATATCTGTGGAATGACCAGGGTGAGACAAAGGACTTTTGTCTGCTGGGGCTAGCTGTGAATGTTTCAGCTGATCACCTTGATTAGCATTCAATGGCTTGGAAGTGCCTGGGGGGAATCTTTTGTTGAGAGTGATTTTATGTGCCTGTTTGTTTCCCCTTTGTTGTTTTGCTGTTGTGATTTTTGAGGATCCTCTTACCTCTGCAAGAGTCTACAGTATACCATGCAGCTGTGGACAAGTCTACATAGGGACCACCAAACGCAGCGCCCAGACACGCATCAAGGAACATGAAAGGCACTGCAGACTACTCCAACCAGAGAAATCAGCCATAGCAGAGCACCTGATGAACCAACCTGGACACAGCATATTATTTGAGAACACAGAAGTGCTGGACCACTCTCACAACCACCATGTCAGACTACACAGAGAAGCCATTGAAATCCACAAGCATGTGGACAATTTCAACAGAAAGGAGGAAACCATGAAAATGAACAAAATCTGGCTACCAGTATTAAAAAACTCAAAAATTACAACAGCAAAACAACAGAGGGGAAACAAACAGGCACATAAAATCACTCTCAACAAAAGATTCTCCCCAGGCACCTCCAAGCCATTGAATGCTAATCAAGGTGATCAGCTGAAACATTCACAGCTAGCCCCAGCAGACAAGACCTTTGTCTCACCCTGGTCATTCCACAGATATATAAACCCATTTTTCCTACTTCCAACAGACCTCACTACCTCTGAGGATGCTTGCCATAGATGCAGGCGAAACGTCAGGAGAAAAATTGCCTCCAGAACATGGCCATATAGCCCGAAAAAACCTACAACAACCTAACCAGAAACTTCTTGGAGAAAAATTGGCATTGTTTATTTCATATTAACAACCATGTTTAAAATGAATATTTGAAATATAAAGGATTTGGGGATTTGCTGGCTAGAAGTGCTGAATGAGATATGTGACTGGCAAAAGTGTTTGTTTCTTTTCTCTGCTCACAAGTGTCAAGAGGTTTAAAATAAGAATGCCTAAATGACAAAGCCATGAAAGAGAAAATGATTTAACCAGTGGCAGCAACATTTATTGTCCGAGTTGTTGTATGTTTTCCGGGCTGTATGGCCATGTTCCAGAAGCATTCTCCCCTGATGTTTCTCCTGCATCTATGGCAGGCATCCTCAGAGGTTGTGAGGTTTATTGGAAACTAGGCAAGGGGAGTTTATATATCTGTGAAATGGCCAGGACAGGAGAAAGTACTCTTGTCTGTTTGAGGAAAGTGTGAATGTTGCAACTGATCACCTTTATTAGCGTTGAATAGCCTTGCAGCTTCAAAGCTTGGCTGCTTCCTGTCTGGGGGAATCCTTTGTTGGGAGGTGATTAGCTGGCCCTGATTGTATCTTGTCTGGAATTCCCCTGTTTTTGAGTGTTTATATATCCGTGGAATAATGTCCTGGGTGGGAGAAAGACATTCCACGGATATATAAACCCAATTTTCCTAGTTTCCAACAGACCTCACAACCTCTGAGGATGCCTGCCATAGATGTAGGTGAAATTTCAGGAGGGAATGCTTCTGGAACATGGCCATACAGCCTGGAAAACACACAACAACTCAGTGGTTCTGGCCATAAAACCTTCAAAAATACATTGAACATTTATTGTAGCTATGTGAAAATTCTGACTTACTAAGTCGCTATCCTACAATTTTCTGGGGAAGACACGTTCACAGAGGGTTTGCCTTTGCCTTCCACAGTCACTTAATAGGCTTCCATGGCTGAGCAGAAATTAGAACTCTGGTCTCCAGGCCAATGATCAAGCCAATACAACATGTTCACCCATGTATTTATGTTATAGAAATATGCGGTTCAGACTAAATTGATTTGGCAAAGACTTTGCATTCGAGAGTGGTATGTGAATCATATATCTACATCTCTATCTGTATATCTCTGGATTTAGTCTGGACATGCTGTGAGAGATCCTCACAAGGACTCTCAGATACTCTCAGATATCTACAAGGACTCACTTGAGATTGCTGTAGATGATAACCTTGCAAAATCTTTGCCTTCAGAAAATAGCTGGCTGAATATCCTCTGATGCTCCCTGCTACCCAAAAACATGGACATGGCCATATTGGGGAAGGAGCTATGCGACTTCCAAGGTGGATTTTGGTGGATTTTGGGGTCAGAATAAGATTTTTACCACTGGTATATATCAGCCTGTTGTTGGTGTCATTGTGCCTTCAAAATGGTTTCAGCTTTTCAAAATGATTCCAAACCGTTACTAGTGTTTCTCAGCAAGATTTATTCAGAGGTGGTGCATTGTTGCCTTTCTCTGAAGCTGAGAGAATGAGACTTGCAAGGTCACCTAATGGGTTTCTATGGCTGAGGTTATATGGTATGGTCTTCCAAAATTCTAGTCCAGAACTTAAACCGCTACACTACCATACTATTTCACGATGCAAGCCATTTAACATAAATTTACTTAATTGTTTGCATAAGCAGCAGTCCAATCAGATTTGCAACTTTGTAATTATTCTAACTGCTATGTAATTGACTATCTCCTTCTCATTTATATTTCCAGGAATGATTTGTCCTGTTAGATTTTTTAAGTGATGGGCTGCTTTATTGTCTCTTCTAAAATTGAATGATTTCAATAGAAAGAAATCTAGGGGTTTTAATTTATATTCCAAAGTGGAAATGAAAGTTGTCTTTAATTATTCAGTGGCCGCACCCATCATTTATTCACTGAACAATCTGATAGTACACTAAAAAGCTAAAGTAGTTAAAATCTGTTTCACTACTTCTCCATTTCTAAGGCTCTTTCCATGGCCCCACATGGCAATGCCTCTGTAACCCACACTTCATGGACTTTGGAACTCTTATGGACCCTTTACCAAACCCTTATGAACTTTTATGATATTTCACTGATCTATATGAACCTTTGATGGACTCTGGAGGGAGGGAGGGCTGGCATGATTCCCTTTGAACTCCTTGTATGTTTCCCCTTTCCCCATATCCCTATATGAAATATAAAACATGAAATGCCATCTCTTCGTGACCTCAGCATGTCATGGCTTCAGGGAACAGCTTTCCTGCTGGCTTGCTGGCGTCACAGCCAATCATAACAACGCCAGCTCAGGAGGGGGAGAGGGGTGGGCATGGGAATTTTTGAATCTAACAGCTCTGTATTTCCTATAAAAACTGTAATGTTTCCCTTTGCCAAACATGTCGGCTTTGGCAAATGATTGCAGTTTGACATCCGCTCCAGCTGGATCACAATAAACAACTCAGTGGCATTTTCTTCAACTTTGGTGAGATTTATTTGGGAAAATTGGGGAAAATTACATTTGGTGCTTCCTTCTCACCAGGGTTGAAATGGAACCTCTTTGGTGGGTCCGATTGGTCTCTATCTTCAAGGAAAGACTCCCAAATTCATGCTCGATATCAACTTTAGAAATTATGCCAGACACTAGCCTCGGAAAAGTTATAACATGGAGGATGCATCCATTGGATGATGAAAGTTTCTTATCTTCCTAGGCTTTTCTACCTTGGGTTTTTTCCTCTACAATAATCTTCAATCTCTTTTCCCATCTCCTCCTCCACTGATGCTCTCTATTTTGTTTGAAGTAATCCACACTTTTCCCAGAACTTCACAGATAGAAGTCAACAATGTGCAAGGACAAGTTTATGGGACCAATTCTAAAGCAAACTAATAACTCAAAATACATTTTCCCCTTGCAATATCTTTGAATCGGAAGCTTGGTTATGGGCAAGATTTGCCAGATTTTTTGTTACTGTCATTTGTCATCAAGTTGCCTTTGACTCATGGTGACCTTATAAATGAGAGACCTCCAAGATCTCTGGTGGTCAACTGATGGAAGAGAAAGCACAAAGGAAGCTTGTGTTTCTAGGGGCAAACCCCTCATAGACATTCATTTGTTAGCATTTGCTGGGAACAGATTGCAAAGCATTACTCCTGATACAGCTGCCTTGTTGGAAGACTATTACAGGCTCCACAATGAAGACCCATTTAGTGAGCAAACTCTTCAGGCAGCGCAGAGCATTTTGTCCTCCATCTCTGAAGCCAAGAAAGAACAGGGGATAAAGCTGATAACAGTAGTCGATATGGATAGGAGTAGCCAGAAGGCATGGAGGCTGTTAAGACGGCTGAGCAATGATCTCTCACAAACTAATATCCATGACAACATAAAGGCAGATCAGATAGCACATCAAACTTCTGAAGAATGGGAAACCCAACCTTGCCACCAAAGTAGGAAGGAAAGCAATAGTCAGACAATGAGATAATGAGAACAACAACCTTCATGAACCTTTTACATCTACCCACATTGGAAATGGCTCTCAACAAATGCAAAAATGGCAAATCAGCTGGCCTGGATGACCTACGGATGGAACAAATTAAGAACTTTGGCCCAAAAGCAAGGTACTGGCTGCTGAAACTGATGAACAACTGCACTGCATCCTGTCAGATCCCTAAAATCTGGAGGAAAGCAAGAGTCATAGCCATTTTGAAACCAGGCAAAGGTTGTAATGATCCAAAAAGCAATAGACCAATCTCCTTGTTGTGCCATCTTTATAAAGTTTTGGAGAGACTTATTCTGCACAGAATTATGGAAAAATTAGACCCATTTATGATGCCACAGCAAGCTGCACATAATAAATGCTGAACCTGACTCAGGACATAGAGGATGGTTTTGAAAGATTACAGGAGCTATCTTCATAGACCTGTCAGCAGCTTATAATACTGTAAATCATTGCCTCCTCCTGAAAAAAATGTTTAATATCACAA